TTCTTCCCAAAAATTGCCAACCTAAAACTGTATTTCGGTGTCCAAAAAATTATTTGAGTTGAAATAAGATACCATGTGAAGGTGATTGTCACAAAGATGGCGCTGTAGCTATATGAGCATATATATATTTACATCACGTATGCTTTAGGTCATCCACAGCTGGCGCAGTTATAAGTCATCCATCAGAAGGAATGTGAATATACTTATTTCTGTCCATATATATCTTTAACAAGGTTATCCTTTTATCAAATTCAACAAAAAAACACAGAAAAAATATACCATTTTTGTACATTTGATCGCCTACAAGTCATCCGCCAGAATGATGCCCATGGATCACCCACTTATATACCCTCCATCCAAATTGGAGATATATAGATCATCCGCTTTACTCGTAATATGTATATCACAGTGGATAGATCACCCACGCGCTGTTGCCAGCAATTAATGTTTTGTTGTATGTCTCGAATAATATTTACGGGATTGAATTAGCAAAGCAATATGCGCAACTACGCTTTCTTCATACGGGAGTCAGCGGTGTTTCACAAGCTGTCGCCAGTCGTGGCCACGTGAAAACTAAGGTTATAAGTGTGAATTTTTGTAGTATCAGGGGCGTAGCTACCGCCGTATCTGCCGTATCAATTATACGGGGCCCCCGGGCCACGGGGGCCCCCAAAGTGTGTAAGGAAAAAGAAATAAAAACTTCCTAATTTATTTTATTTTACAAATGACAAAATTCTATAAAGCAATTACTTTTTATACCGCCTTAAGCGTGCGTTCAAAAGTTGGCAACACTGTACATCGTTATGGCGGGCTGTGGGACTTCCCCGTTTTACTTACTTCATCTGCAACTCAGCGGGGAATCCCTCAATAATAAAATCGATATCGCGAACGTGTACGTACATACTCTATATTGGATGTTAAACCACGGAGTGCAGTGCAGTGTTTATTTACGCGTTTTATGTAATTGTGCATTACATTGTAATTCAGTACAAACAATATTGTTCTGGTGGTTTAACAATATTAGTAGCGATTTGTAAAAGAAATGAGTGAAAGGAAAAGAGATTATCCCAGCGGTGCTGAGAAAAGAAAAAGTAAACGGAAAAGGGAAGAGGTTATAAAAAAAGTGCCCAAAATTTCTTCATTTTTTCATAGACAAGATACTGTGAGTGATTTAGATTGGAAAGGTAAGTACTACCCAACCCATTTATTCGGGGTCCGTAGTGATAAACAAGGAAATCTTTTAATTTCGGCCTGTCAATCTGTCCGTCACAAAAAGTGGTCTCCCCCCCTTCGATTTTCACAACTACTGGTCCAAAAATCTAAAAAAGATATTGGAGACTCCTTACTAATTAAACTTTTACATGAAATTGGTTTGGCAAAAATCTTAAAACGGATAAGGTTTAAAAATAAATGACAATTTGTAAAATTACTTCTTCGAAAAACCGAAGTACTTACTAATTTACACAAGTACTATTTTACACGACGCTAATGTGGATCTGCGTGGTTAGATACGCGTGGTTGGTTTATTATTTACCTGTAGCGAAGGGTGAATTTTGTTTTTAGGGTTCCGTGCCTCGAAACAAAAAAAAACCAAAACTCTAACTTATCTATAAGATCAATTTGTTTTGTTGTTTGTCTATCAGTCTGTATCGTATCGTAAATTGCGTGTTGAGAACTTCAGATGTGCAGACTCGCTTTCGGGTTGTTCTCGTTTTGTATGGCCACTACACTACGCGCTGCGTTCAAATAGCACGCAGGTGTAATGTAACGCACGGACGGGCTGCAGGTGATTTTGTATCTACTAATACGAGCACAATCCGCGTAGAGTCTGTGTGCGTCTGAACTGAACACTCTCTAACTGTGACCCTTAGTAAAGTTATTTATTTATATATAACTCTTTTTAGTTTTGTATCAAAGCATTCGTATTTATTTTTTAACAAATACTCGTTTATTTTTAGATTCTTCTGAAGCACGTTCTTCGTCAAATATCCATTCGGAAATAGAAGAAAGCCAAGCACATACTTCATCGGATGTCCATCCAGAAATTGAAGAACACCAAGTCAACGATTCTGATATATTTGAAGATTGTAATATAATTTCATCAGATAGAGGAAATTTTGGTGACAATTTATCTGAATGCGAACGAAAAATAATTTTTAAATTGGGTCCATTTAAACCACAAGGACCATTTCCAAAAGATTCAGAAAGTAACCGACCTTTTTCGGCCTATGATTATTCATATTTCAATCAGGCAGGCATAAAACTTGTAAGACCATGGTTATGTTATTCTAACGTTTTAAACAAACCGTACTGTCACTTCTGTTGGTTATTAGCAGATCGTCAAAACAAATCGTACTCCTCTGCTTGGGTTAACGGTGTTTCGGTTAGAAGCAATTTTACGCAAACTATACTTGACCATGAAAAGTCACAGCAGCATATGAATGCCTCACTCTCTTATAATAATTGGTTGCAAGGAAATACCATCGATACTCTATTGCAAAGTGAAATCAATAGTAAAATTACATTCTGGAGAGATGTACTGCATCGTATAATTAATGTTATAATTACTTTAGCATCTTGTAATCTATCTTTGAGAGGGCATGATTCTGATTCTGGAAATTTTATGGCAATTTTACGTTTGCTATCTAACTATGATGCAACTTTAAAAGAACTTCTTCTAAAACCGAAAGGCGAAATAAATTATTTAAGCCCTACGATTCAAAACGAAATTATTAGTTTGCTTGGTACCACCGTTAGGAACAATATTATCTCAGAAATTAAAAAAGCTCCATTTCTGACAATAATTCTGGATACAACACAAGACTTGTCAAAAATTGACCAACTTTCTGTAGTTTTTCGATATATCTCGGTTACAGAAAATGATGATAATGTGCCTAAAGAAATAAAAATCTGTGAGTCCTTTTTAGGATTTATAGCAGTAACCGATTGCAGTGCTGCAGGTCTGAAAACTGCCTTTTTAAATTTGACTAAAGAATATGGAATTGATTTGACTAAATGTAGAGGACAGGGTTACGATGGAGCAAATGTTATGTCGGGTATTTATGGAGGATTACAAACCCTAATAAAAGAGCATGCTCCAAATGCCGATTATGTTCATTGTGCTGCGCACGCTTTAAACTTAGTTTTAAACGATGCTGCGAGACACGTTCGTGAAATATCGACTTTTTTCGATAATTTAGAAAAAGTATATACTTTTTTTGGCAATAGTATAAAACGCTGGGCTATGCTAAGTGACGATCCGTCTGAAAAATATTTGATTACCCTTAAAAAGGTATGTCCAACCAGATGGTCTTCTAGGAACGACGCTTTATTAGCGGTAAAGAAAAATTTTTTACTAATCATGAAAACTTTGTACCAACTAAATTTAATTTCAAATAAAAAAGATGAACGTGAAGAATGTAAAAATATAATTAATATTTTAGAGAGTTATGATTTCTTAGTGCTCGTTACATTTTTTTCTTCACTATTTGAAATTATTAATCCTATTTCTAAAGCTCTACAGCATGAAAATAATGACTTACAGAAATCTAGTATTTTATTAAGTAATCTTTTAAATAGACTGTGCCAATTAAGAAATCAGATTTCATTTAATAGTTTGCTAAATGAGTCCAAAGATTTAGCAAAAGAGTGGGGGGTAACAACTGTTTTTAAAAACAGTAGGCGAAAGATAACGAAGCGTTTTTTTGATGAGTTATCACAAGATGAGAGAATTTCCGACCCGGAATCCTATTTCAAAGTCAATGTATACTATTGCTGTTTAGATATATTAATTTCTCAAACTAAAGAAAGATTTCAGAGCCTTTGCGATCTGAGTAGTATGTTCGAAATATTACAACCGGAGAAACTCCTATCTTCTTCAAACGAAGAGATATTAATCGCTTCCGGAAAACTGTCCGTTAAATACAGTAAAGACATCTCAGTTAATCTTTGTGACCAATTAAAGGCTCTAAAAACATGTTTAAAATCTGAAATTCAAAAAATTTATTCCATTAAAGAACTCATTGAATTATTGCTAGTAAAATTCAATAGTCTTGCATCTAGTTTTCCCGAGGTAATCACAGCATGCTTTTTATTCTTGACCCTTCCAGTTACAACCGCAACTGCTGAAAGAAGTTTTTCAAAATTAAAACTGATAAAAAATTACTTAAGAACTTCGATGGGACAAGAACGGCTGTCAGACCTCTCACTATTGTCCATAGAGGTAGAAACTTTAGAAAAACTAAAATCATCATCAGCCATAAATGATTTAATAAATCAGTTTGCCGAAAAAAAGGCAAGGAGAATGAATGTTTAAAATTTGATTTTTATTTGTAAAATGGTTAAATTATGTTATGATAAACAAATATTTCTTTTCACAATATTTTTTTTCTTTTGTGAAAAATCTTTACCCCCAAAGAATATAAGGGCCCCCAAACAATTTTTTATACGGGGCCCCGCCAATGCACGCTACGCCACTGTGTAGTATGGAGCAACATAATTCATATCCAGCAGATTATGTAAGTATAAATTAAATCAGACAAAACACTTAAATAATTACTGTTAAATCAAGCCCTGTAACTAATATGTAGAACAGTGCCGTAACGTAAATATAGGTATACGTTAGCTTATTGTCTTCTGAATAAAAACAAAATTCAGAATATTTTGAAAAAAAATTGCCCTACGCGCTGGTAGGGTGTACATTTCTTCTTATGCACGACCAATTAGCTTCACAGTGGCATGATGAAAACAAAATATAATGAGAAAGAAGTTTATAAAGTTTGTTTAAACAATCGATTTGGCGAAAATTGAAAAATGCTTCTACTGGGTGTAATCATACAACGATACTCAATCCGAGACACTACTATTTAATGCTCGGCACGTTTTTCGCCAACTATGTTGGGTCCTCAGGAGAGGATTAAGACCAAAGTTGTAGCTATACTAGTCGCAAAAGTCTTTGGCGGAGGTGCTTAAATCTTAACAAAAGACGAAAACATGAATTCATTATTCTGTACCTGCTGACTATGCTAATTTTTTATAGTATGAGGTTTGCTCCTCAAACTTCTCAAATAAAAAGAAAACTAACTGGTTTTGTAACAGACCGCTTGATCCACCACAAGAAACGAGTAGAAGAATGGCTGCGTTAAAAATGGTGAGTTAAGTATATGTGTTATGGTTCATACTAGAACAGTTAGTAATAATTGTACTAAAAAAAAACTGCACTTCCAGAAAAATAAGCTTTTTTGTTTCGTTGGAACCTGATTTATTCTGACCGTATATGATATAAAATATTGTTCCATTTTCTGGTAGCAAGTAGTGTAAAATTTATTTATAGAAATTCAGTTATCTACGTATATATTTCTGCGGGGTTAGATGTCTTACATGTGTTCAATCAAATTGGTTTTACAGGTGTGGACGTAAAATCAAAAACGAGAATTTGTATGTTTTCTATGTTAGTTACATTTGAACATAACCAAGTAAAATTTGATTTGTCGCTGGAATGCTTATTTTATCAACATTTCTGAAACGAATGAGGAAAGGTTCTTTGAGAGGAGTTAATTACAGTGTGTTTTCATTGTGTACTTGGCAATAACAAGCTTCTACATATAATCACCATACTTTGTAGGCTATATTTTTCAATAATTCCGTAGCTCAATGTTAATTTTAGATAGCCATATACCAAATAGAGTCAATCTCAACAGGAATACACCTGTCCCGTATAGGTCAGTGGATAGCAAGCAGCTATTAGATCAGTAGTCATGCCTACCTAGTATAGACATTTAGCGATGGACTTAGCTAACAGAATAGCCTCCATACCCTAATGGTTATGCTATGGCGAAGTTCATAGCAAAAACATGAAAGTGCAATTATCTTCTTTCATCGATAGTGTAAAGTAGATATAAGATTTGAGAAAAGTGACACTAACAGGGGATGAACTTGTACAAAATTCAATTAACCCCGTATAATTAGTTTTTGGAGCATAACCGTTTGATTCGGAAGGTTCCGTGTTCAAATCCTGATGCCGTTAAAGCTACCCTCAGATCTAACTTTTTTATATCCCTTCTTGGATTTACTATGTGAATACTCAAACAAAAAATTTTAGCCAAAAGTTTTGTTAGAATTGTATTAAGCCTATATCTGGTCATTTTAGGAGTTGACTGATTCCCTCACCGTCCAGCCAATTATAACTGATTGTGGAAATGATTTTGATGACGTTTTGTCGGTAAGTTAAGGTTTAGTCATATAACAATAAAAATGCATTAACATGATTTGCAGGAATTATCTTCTAGTTCTCCTCTAATATGTTGCACACCTCCTACCGACCCAAGTGAGGATGAATGTATTATACCGAATAGAGTAGTAAATGAGGATTGGTCAATAGATGAGAATGAGGTGATTTTTATTGTTGTTTATATTTCAAAATATGCGTGAATATATGCTTATTGCAATACTTGCCAATGTCGGTTACATAGCTGAGCTAGTTAGTGCTGCTAAACCTGAAACGTATAAATGGGGAGAATGGATTTTGTTTCAATTTCTGTGTTATATATTTAAATTTCTTTGAAACTTAGTGCCTCAGTATCTTGTGAAAAAAAATCAATATAATACTCATATTTTCACGCCAGATGTTTCTAATTCGACTAAATTAGAGCGAAGCTGCTTACCGATAATCTCGTTTGAAAGATTTGAGTTTAGTTCTTTTATTCCTGAATAATAGAGATTCTAGATTCAAGTTTCATTGATAAACAAATATATTACGGGCAGATAAATTCTACACCTAATTCAAACTAACAATTAGTAATTAGGCTTGTATCAAAGTTTCTTAGCATTGATCAAGTTACTATATTTTCAGAGTTTCGATGATCATTCACCTTTACATTCAACAGATACTACTGATGATCCTGATTACTCTCCATCTAAGGAATTTCTTGCATTGGTAAGTGATGGCGACCAATTTTACTACGAATTGCACAGATCCTCGTATTTCAGGAAGAGTCTTCAGGATTTGATAATCTTTCTGATGAGAAGGAATTGCAGAGCTTTGAAAGGCCTCAGAATGAAAATGAAGAAAACGTCGAATCTACCAGTCATGAAGTTTCTACCAGTACATCATCTACTAGGATTAGAGATCTTCAAATGAAAAAAAATTCCGTGTATTGTTACTTTTGTGAATCTTACGTTATACATTTCCCCAGGCACTTATTTAGGAATCACGCGAGTGAAATGGAGGTACAGAGAGTCCAAGCGCTACCTCCACGTAGTAAAGATAGGTATAATCTACTATTAGATTTAAGAAACAAGGGGAATTATTTAAACAGCAACGAATTTGCTAAGCCAGTACGACAGGGTAAACTGGATTCAAATTATCTACCTTGCACATACTGCTTTGGATTCTATTCTACAAGGAATTTATGGCGACATCGAAAATATTGTGCTGGAAATCCGAGTAAGGGAAAATCACAATAAAATGTCCGAGGCGAGGGACAAAACTTATTGCTCGGGCATTTGAGAACAGATCCACATTTAGCATCTGTTGTATTTTCTCGAATGAGGGCAGATCACATTTCACTTGTAGCAAAAAAGGATGTTCTCATATGTGCCTTTGCTTCAAGATACTTGAAAATTCACAGGGAGAAACACTTCATTACAGTCGCATCACGAAAAATGAGAGAACTAGCAAGACTCTTGATAGAAGTTAGGAAAATTGAACCCGCTATATTAACACTTTTGATGCCCTAAAACCGGTAAACTATGATACTCTTGTTTCTGCCACACAAAATGCCTCAAAATATGACAAAAAAACCCAGTCATATCAAGCACCTACGTTTGCTCTCAATATGGGTACCACATTGCACTCGTTCAGGCATTGAAGAAGTCGGCAGTGCTTTCATCTGTCCAGTCTGCTGATATAGAAGCAGACCTTAAAACATTAATTCAGATCATCGAGGGAAACTGGAGATTTGATGTTTCAAGTCAGGCTGCAACGGATCTGAACATACATAGATGGAATAAGGTCACTTTAGTACCACTGGCTGGAGATCTTAAATTATTGAAAGAGTGCTTACTGAAAGAAGCTACTTCGGCAGTATCTATGCTGCAAGCTAGCAGGCATGACAAAAAGGCCTATATCAAGTTGATTGAGACAGTCTATTGCAGATTATTGCTTCTGAACAGACGCCGCCCTGGAGAACTCCAAAGATTACTGCTCAACACATACACATCAGCTATGAGCAACGAAAATAAACAAGCATACGAGGAATTTTCGGAAGTAATTTCTGCAACGGAAAGGTGCTTAATGAATAGCTTCAAAAGAATAGTGATAAAAGGGAAAAGAAATAGAGGCGTTCCAGGACTAATCAGCAAAGACATAAGTGAACACATTAACATTATTTTAAAATGCCGAAAGGATGTTGTTCAGAAAGAAACGGCTTATCTTTTCGCAAATCCAGATTCTGGAGATCCTCTTGTTGGTTACAAAGTGCTCAGGAAATACGCAACACTTTGCGGGGCAGAAAATCCAGATGCTCTCACGTGTACACGGTTGAGAAAACATCTAGCCACGCTTACACAATTATTTAACATGAATGAAAATGATATGGAGCAGTTAGCTTCCTTCATGGGGCATACACTGGGGATCCACAGATCTTCCTATCGACTCCCGGATGATGTATATCAGACGACGAAGATTTCCAAATTGCTAATACTCATGGAACAAGGAAAAGCTGGAGAGTTCAAAGGAAAAATCTTAGATGAAATCAATATCGATTTGGACGATGATTTGATGGAAATTGCGGGAAAATATAAAGATATATCTAGTGTTTTGGATATAGACAATAATGAAACCACAAGCACACAAGAAAGGAGTGAAAAAGAATTGGACATGAATATAAAAAGTACAAAGAAAACAATAAGGAAGAAGAGGGTCCTGGTACCATGGACAGAAGAGCAAAAAAAGGTAGTTAATAAATTTTTCAAAGATCACATCAGGCTAAAGCAACCTCCAAGGCAAAATGAATGTGAAGAGCTCCTTGCTCAACACCAAGAGCTGCTTAAAAATAAAAACTGGTTAAAAATTAAAGTTTTTGTTCAAAATCAGTATAGAAATAAGTTATAAACATGAAACCATTCCTTTTTATGTTTTTCTTTATATGGCGAATATTTCCATTTTAATTTTTGTGGTCGGTAATGCATAAAGTGAAAGAGACATAAAAACTGCATTGTAGTTTGATCAAATTACCTATATCTATAATATATAATATATATATATAACTTGAGACGTGGTCATTGTCGTCTTGTTCTCCTGATGAAGATGGCAAAGTCCACTGAAAGCTAGAGACTAATAAAATATAAAGAGTCCCCATTGCATGAATTTTGTCGAAGTACCCAACAAAAGGCGGAAGCTTTATTTTTCACCTATATATATATATATATATATATATATATATATATATATATATATATATATATATATATATATATATATATATATAGGTTAACCAATCATAATTCTAGACAACATAACAAACTAAAAATTGTATGACATGCTTTCCTTCAAAGTACCACGCCAAGTTAATGAAGTTGAGAGCTAAATATAGTTTGTTATATATTTCGAAGAAACGCACAGCGAGTTATTTTGCAAAAATGATATAAAAAATGGCGTCGAGTATGTTTCTGCATTTTTCACAAAATGCTGACATGAGAAAAAAAAGTTTGGTATAGGTTAGCCCCTCTGAAAAAAGTTACCTAAGAACATGTACCGTGAAATTCCTCTTCGCGGGCACCCTCTTACACGGACACCTCCTTTAAACGGACAGTTTCACATGGTCCCAACCGACTTTCAAATAATCTGCATTGTATTAACTCTCTCTTAGACGGAAATTCTCTTGAAGGCACGTGGACGCGAGAAATCGTTCTCCTAACCGGACAAAAAAAAACAAAATAAAAAGAAACGCCTTGTCTTACTTCCCTTTTTTCTGTCGAGAGCGTCGCTAGTGCATTTCTGAATCGTGCCGCGCGCCATATACGCTGAAACTTTCTCGAGTAACCCGGGGATTCACCGACTTTAACCTGTCAGTACAAACGCAGCCTATGTGGTGCATTTCTGTCCGGTGTGAATTAGGGACTTCCCCGAGTTGGTCGGGGATTTACCGTTCTTATTCTTTGAGACACGCTTTCGATTAAATTTCCATTCAGTTTCAGTACTAGTCTGACCTCTATGCGGCAAAGACAATGGGCGAATCATTCATTGTAGAAATGGCTCCAAATTATGAGAGAGTGGTTGCAAGATCTAGACTGGAAAATGGCTAAAGAAAAAAAAAAACGTTTTGATATTTTTAGACAATGCTGGATCTCATCCAAAAGATTTTCGCTTAAATAATATGAAAAATTATTTCAGTCACCTGCTAGTAAACATTGAAAATGCTGGTACAGCTTTTCAGTTAATTAAGAAAATTACGAATTGGACACAGTTTATTAAGCATGAAAATATACAATGTGAAGACCAGTTAAATGAGGCTGATACACCTGACCCAGAAGATGACTTACCACTTAATGTACTTTCTGATATCTTCAAAAATAAGAATTTAATGAAATTGAATAATCATGAGAACCTTTATGATTTTTTGAACCAAGATGAAAGTTTGTATGTTGAAGATCCAGATTCAAGCTAAGGAATTGAAAATCCAGTTGAAATACACGAACTGTTAAAAGATTCTGATGCCGATGAGATTCCAGTTCCAACAGAAGCTATTCCAAATTATGGCAAAGCTATTACCCTGAAACTAATTTAATGGATGATCCGGGCAAAAAAAAGTTTTAACTAAACGTGGAATTAAATATCCGGAACGAATATGCAATGCTTCAAAAAGCAGCATTTATCTCATGACTTGTGGAAATGCTGCAGGAGAGCTGCTACCACCTTAAGTGGTGAACAAATCTAAGTAAGGTAGGTGTATACAATATCGCCATGTTGACAATATCGCCATGTGTACCTTATGCCCTAAGTTGATAGCTGGCGTGACTGATTTTATATGAGATAATAAATTTACGACAAATAACGAGGAATAGTTGCTTCATAACCTCAAATTTCATTTCACTTGCTTTTTTACCGGCAAAAGTGTTTCGTGAATGTGCGATCTAAAGTATATTAAAAGCTATTTTGTTTATATCATCCAAAATTACTTGGTAAGTAGTTTTTCCGAATAATTATCTTGTAAAGCATTCTTTTGTGTATTTGTTTATTCCTCACTTTCCAATTGAAAGATAGTTTTAATCTTTGTTAATAAACAAACCTTGAACTGATATCCCTCATAGCAATACCGCCAATCTCATACAAAGGGTGTAAAGAAACACTACGAAAGGAAATACACAAATTGGGATTCAGGTGGAAAAAATTTGAATCCAATCGAAAACTATTAATAGAAAAGGCAGAGATTCGCCATCTACGGATTGTTTTTTTAAGGAACATGGCGAAATATGGAAAAGAAGGACGCCCAGTAATATATACTGACGAAACGTATATACATTCTTCGCATACACATACCAAAAGCTGGGTGGATAACTCCACAGACGGCATTAAGAAACCAATATCAAAGGGAGAAAGGCTGATCATACTCAATGCTGGCGGTGAAAATGGATTTATACCTAATGCGTACGTAAGATGGAAATCTACATGTAGTACAAGAGATTATCATAATGAAATGAATTTTGATAATTATAAAAAGTGGCTAAAAGAAAAACTAATTCCAAATCTACATCCCAGAAGTGTGGTTGTTATAGATAATGCGCCGTACTACAATAAACAGATAGACAAAAGCAAAACATCTTCAACCGCTAAAGCTGAAATGAAGATCTGGCTTCGTGACAGGAATATTTTTTTTACAGATGAAATGCTTAAACCAGAACTTTATAATTTGATTAAATTGCATAAGCCAGTTTATAAAAAATTTGCCATAGATCAAATTCTTCATGATGCTGGCCACGATGTTCTAAGACTGCCACCCTACCACCCCGATTTAAATCCAATAGAACTCGTGTGGGCAACAATGAAGTCTTACGTAGCAGCCAGAAATGTCGATTTTAAGTTTTCTACCGTTTCAAAATGGTGCGACACGTTTTTGAATAACTTTACGCCCGAAGAATGGAAAACTAGGTGCGAGCATGCAAAAAAAAATTGAGATAGAGTTTATGCAGCAAGAGCCCGCTGTTGATAGAGTTGTAGACGAAGTTGTTATACAATTAAATGAAGTCTTACTTAGCAGCCAGAAATGTCGATTTCAAGTTTTCTACCGTTTCAAACTGGTGCGACGCGTTTTTCAATAACTTTACGCCCGAAGAATGGAAAACTAACTGCGAGCATCCAAAAAAAATTGAGATAGAGTTTATGCAGCAAGAGCCCGCTGTTGATAGAGTTGTAGACGAAATTGTTATCCATTTAAATGAAGTTGACAGCGATAGCGACTTTCTCGAGACCGAAACTGAAGATGAAGATGCCGAAGAACGGAGCGATGAAGCAGAAGGGGATTCTAGCTGAATTTTGGATGTACAGTCTGGCAAAGGCAGTTTAAGCTGTGAAAAACCGGTTGCACCGTAAACATCACGTCACAGCTCAAGCTGAATTTGCCAAATTGTGTAAATGTTTAACAAGAGTAGCTTAAACTATTCATATACTTTTATAGTCTTTAATTAAAAAAAAATATACGATAATCTTCAAAGTTTTAGGCAAATGAATTGGTTTCGACTGCTTCTAAAACTGCAGTGAAAAACAACCTTTCAACCTTCTTTCATCATAGAAAATCAAATAACAGTCGTTTGCCTACTGTGAAAAAACTTGGCGCGTCGAATGTACTTCTACATTCGTTGGCTATTGTTGTTTCTCTCAGATATAGCGCTCTCACTCCGTCGTTTGCGCATCTCACATCTCTAGCTACTCTGGCCGACCTGTACGTATACAGTACATGTCATGTAACATCTAAAAACATAGTGTCTCATTTTCAAATTTGTTTGCGATTACAATACTTCCTCGAAAATTCGGGTAGGAAATAACTAAATGTTTTGTTTATTATGTCGACTATCAACCATACTAAATTCATTTTCGATGTGCAGTCAGTTAAAACAATAACCAGCGTAGATGTACTATAGCACGCCGACTGATAAGGAAGGCCGTGATAATTCGTCACCAGTAACAGAAAGGCCACGCTGTAGTAGTTTATCCAGGTGGTTCAATGCTACATAAATGGGATGAGCACCTGTAAAGGATTTCCGTAAGCACCGACATCGCGCGCCTAAGCATTGAATATGACTGACCAGTCTGATAAAGCACTTCATATTTGACGTTATTACGTCTACTGCACATCGAAATCAATCAAGTATGGCAACTCAGTTTCGGCATTTCAAAAATAACAATAATGCCAACTTCCCTACTGGAATAAGCGTTGTCTCTTATGAAAAACCAGGGACCTTCTTTGAAACATCTGCTTATGCTCTTTACATTTACTAGCACCACCTGGACTGTTTTATTCAAATTCAAAATATTCGACTCCTGCTCAAATCTAACCGAAATGAAACCGCATTTCTAGCACCACCTGCTGAACCCTACAAACACTTGCTCCTTTTTACC